AAATATAACATTTTTCAATGCAATATTGACAAATGAATGGCTTTTAAAACGCATTTTCAATGCAGATTTTTTATTATATTACCTCAAAACGGGTTTAGAGCTAGAAATCTAAACTTTGGTGTGAGTTTTTATCTCATTAAGTTTCAACTATATAGACTTGTCCAAAGTTTATAATGGGAAAAGCATGTAAGATCAACCAACCCTATATATATATATATATATATATATATATATATATATATATATATATATATGAAAAAGACAAAGTCTGACAATTATTTTAAGACATTTTACATAAGCATAAAAAAATACCTTAAAATAATTGTCTGACTTTGTCCATTTCATAAGGTGTGACGTCATTTGTTTGCATTTGGATATGCTTTGAGCAGATATGAATAGACGCGAGAGAATCATGGAGAATTGTAGTTTAAAAACAGTAAAATCGACCTTCCTAACCGAAACGTTCATCTGTGGCTAAATCGGTAAAAGCACGTCAGGCTACATGACGATTCCGTATAAGATGCAGATTCGATTCCTGCCGGAGGACGCATATTTTCTATGAAAATTTCTTGGACATTCAGGCCGGTAAATGTCGTTAATACTGTTTATTATAAGCAGAGCATTTACTTAAATATTTGTATCTAAAAAAAAGAATGTATAAACATAAAAAATGTCTTAAAATAATCGTCGGACTTTGTCCATTTCATAATGTGTAATATACATATATATATATATATATATATATATATATATTGTGTAATCAGGAAACAATCACCCCATTATACATGTTTCGTTAAAGACGACTGACAAGGCACTGAGATTAACCTTTTTATTTAATCTTTCTTTTGTTTGTACAAGTGTTTTCTTTTCTGGACACAAAACGTGTAAAAGCTGCATAAAAGTTCTGCATTTCTGAGCGCTTTTGGCTAAACGTTTAGCCATTATCAAGGATAAATTTATTTTATCGAAACCAAACTCATAAATAATTACATCAGTCACACTACTACATGCCTATCCAAACAACTTACGTTACACCTATCCGATCACAGATCCATTGGAACTCATTTAAACATACACACAAACCTAAAAGACTCTATCCGAAACATACCAATAGAAGATACAAGCATAATAACCTCATCCTCATGTAAATAATGATTACAAATAATGGAAGCATTAATAATAAAAAAGAAAAACCCAACATTCAATAACATTAACTACGAACACGTATGGAAAATAAAACATCTCTATAACTCTGACGTAATAGATGACGTCATTTGTTTACATTTGATACGCCAGAGCAGTTATGAATGTACGAGATTCATGGAAGATTGAAGTTTATAAGCAGTAAATTCGACCTTGCCTACCGAACTCTCCTTTGTGGCCGAGTCGGTTAAAGGCACCTCAGCATAAATGACTGTTCCGTATAGGATGCAGGTTCGAATCCTGTCAAAGAACGAAAATGAAAATTTCTCGGACATTTAGGCCGGTAAATGTTATTTAATACTGTTTATCATAAACAGAGCATTTGCTTAAATACTTGTATCTATAAATAACAACGTTAAACATAAAAATGTCTTTAATAAATAAATTGTCGGACCTTGTCCATTTCTTAACATATGACGTCATTTGTTTACATTCGATACGCCAGAGCAGTTATGAATGTACGAGATTCATGGAAGATTGAAGTTTATAAGCAGTAAATTCGACCTTGTCTACCGAACGGTTCTTTGTGGCCGAGTCGGTTAAGGCACGTCAGCGTAAATGACTGTTCCGTATAGGATGCAGGTTCGAATCCTGTCAAAGAACGAATATTTTCTATGAAAATTTCTCGGACATTTAGGCCGGTAAATGTTATTTAATACTGTTTATCATAAACAGAGCATTTGCTTAAATACTTGTATCTATAAATAACAACGTTAAACATAAAAATGTCTTTAATAAATAAATTGTCGGACCTTGTCCATTTCTTAATATATATATGTGTGTGTGTGTGTGTGAGAAATATAGTCTTAAGGTGTGCTATATTTATGGGATAAAGTGCTCGATATCAGAGACAGAGCGTGTGTAAATATAAAAGTGAACATAGAAGTCAACACTTAGAGGCGACAGTCTGTTTCATGCTGTATGCAATCGTCAGGCCACGCTATATGCAATCGTAGCCTGACGATTGCATATAGCATGAAACAGACTGTCGCTCTAAGTGTTGACTTCTATGTTCACTTATATATATATATATATATATATATATATATATATACAGAGTATTTGTGTATGCAATCTTTTCCACAGAGTGCACACAGTTGCAACACAGTTTCTCGTTAAAATGCTTAATTAATCTTTGCATTTTTTTGCAAGTGCTATGTTGGTTTTTAAAATATTTTAAATGTGTTGCTCTCTTTCATTTACTGTGTCTGAACAATTTTATTAACCCAGACAAATTTTTTCAATCTGTCATGGTTTTTTTTTTTTACCGGTGTCTCACCAGATGGCAAACCTGTGGAGATCTAGTGGAGACGACTTGACGCCATTTGCCTCTGTAATCATCGAGAAAGTCATTGACCAGGGATGAGCCGTGGGCGAGCAGCACCCGACGCAGTCGTGATCAAAGATAGAATGTCAGTGTTAGAAACGAGGAGATCGTGACTCAAGCGTGTCATTGAAAAGAAGATAAAACAAACTCCGAGGTGACACTGGATTCGGGAGAAAACATCCAAAGTGACAAACCCGAATTTGTTCAAGCTTAGACGAGGAGGTCGTGTTACAGGCAGACGATATGCATCAGAAGTTATTTTGTTAGGATTTAGAAACATTTAGACATTTTGCATTTATTACTGGAGTTCAGTTTCATTGTGCGTGTGTATACACTTGATATCGAATATACATGCAAAGTTATATATAAATCTTAGTTTGCACGTAGGCATATATATGTACGCACATATACGAGGGTAAGTCAAAAATTCTCCGCTCTTTCGCTATAACATATCTTTAGGTTTGTAACATTGTCTTCTGCTCATGCGTGCTTATAGTCGATACTACTGTGGTCACGTGATCGAAGTTTGCGGTTGATCGTGCCATTTTTTTTTTTTTTTTTGCTGTTGTTACTGTGTAAACATAGCCGCTCCCCAAGCAGTGTGCACCAAAGAGGAACAGAGCAGGGATCCGAATCTGAAGAGAACATGCTACCATTGCTTGCTGAATCTTCTCGTCAATGGCGGAGGTTGACGGGCGTCCTTTTTCATGCGTCACGCTTGTCCTACACGCTTCTATGCAGTAGCGCATTGTTGCCGTATTGAAAAAAAAAAACGTTAAAAACGTCAGACCCTGACACATCTTCCGATCAGAAAAATCGGATCACTGCTCTTTATTCTTCCTTGGTGCAGAAGGCAGTGTGACTAACCTAAAGATATGTTATGGTGAAAGAGCAAATGTTTTTTGTTTGTTTTGCTTTTTTTTTTTTACTAATCTTCGTATATATATACAACTATTACCCAAATGCAAGCACATACACATACATACATAAATATGAAAAGTGCTGAAAAGTTTTCAGTCTGAATCACTTCCCAATATCCAACGAAATAGACAAATGGCGTATTTTTATATCCTTTTTTGGTCGGTTCAAGACCTTTTCAACACGCCTCGTGTGATGCCAAATCAGTCGGATTTCGATCCCAGCTTGAGACAATCGGATGTCTAGCCACACTGATGAGCTGTGATACAACGAAACAGTGTGTCTGTGGATGACAATATATACGCCCCGGTAAAATTTAATAAAGGGTTCAGTTCGACATTCCAACCACCTGAAGAAAGCCGAAGCGTACAACGACCAAGTTGTGATAAATATGGCGACAAAAATGAGGAA